ACCGTATATTCTATTGCCCTACACCAACCCTACCCCTAAACCTACCCCTCACAGGAGACTTTGTGCTATTTCAGATTTTCAATACACTCCATTCTGTGTGATTTATAAGCGTTTTGAAAAGTGGGGACATGGGGTAATGTCCTGAAAAGTCACCTTCTCCTTGTAATACCTGTCATACCTTTGTCATTATACAAATGTATGTCCTCATTTGTCACAAAAATGCGTACACACACGCGCACACACACACACACACACACACACACACATTTTTACAATCTCAAAAAAACTAATTCTGTATGATTTATACGCTTTTGTATCCATGGGGACCTCAATTTAGGTCCCCACAGTGACACACACTCACACACTCACTCACTCACACACACACACACACACACACACACACACAACAACAACATCCTACAAAGCAAACATGCAGAAACTCTCCAGTCTCTATAAAGAATTTGCTATTACTATAGTGCAAACCAGTGCTACAGGTACTACTGTAAAATACATCAATACATGGTCTTCACATCATTGTCTTTATTTAATTGTATAATGTATATCTGTATGTCTTATATATATAGGCCTAACTTTATTCATTCATTCATTTGATTCTATTTTTAAGTCTATTGTAAGTGTGTGCACAGGGTTAAACACTAGTACTGTGGTGAAGGTTTGACGCTTGTAAATTTATGTTTTGTTGATACGACATTTGAAAAAAAAAAAAGTGCACCTTGGTGCCAGTGATTAAAAATGTAAGAGTTTGTAAGCTGTGTGAAGTATTTATTTATTTGTGGGAATTATATGCACCTGGATTTCAGGATACTGCTTGTATTACAATTCAGTGCTATGTATATTTCTTTCTTTCTTTCTAGAGTGTTGTATGTTGCTATTGTGCACTGAAAAAAGCATATGTTTATAAAAGCTATAATAAACAAATAATTATATCAATTAATCATAATAATTACAAAAAAAAACATAACTAAATGGAAGTGGAAAGCATTTATTTTAAATGCCGAAACTGCCTATTTGTCTTTGTGTCTTTATAAACGACATGAACACAAGGTTAAATATGATTCATTTTTCCTGGCAAACACTGTTTCTCTATTTCCTCTAGTCTCTAGCTCCTCCTCTGTTCTGCCTCTCCCTTCTCTGTTGTCCTGTTAACACATCTT